AGCGGTGTTTGGCGGGAAATGCAAATGCATTACCATTTCTACGGAACAAGTCGCCACATGTTCCAACCCCCAACCTGGAGGGCCGGGAGACTGTGTTCGTCAGACCTCTAACCATTGACCAACCTGGTATGAGAGACTCTGTGAGTGTCGTGGGACACTCCCCAGTATAGCTCAACGGATCGCTGAGGTGCGCAAACCGTCACACCACGGTAAGGTCCAGTCTCTTCGTCACTGGCTTCGTGAGCATAAGAGTCTTCGTCGATTAGGTTATTGAAGCAGCCACAATAGAACGTGTGGTTTTTGTGGACTTAGCTAACCTTGTTTGTTTTCAAATGATTTCCGGTCTAGGGTCTATGGTGACAAGGCTGGAGATGTCATCTATGGACTGAAGAATCGCCCTAGCACTGCCGTCCCACTGGTAATCCAAAGAATGCGGCAAAAAGATTCAGAATGGCGCGATGCCATCCGTACTTATCAGCGTTCTTGGGCTGAGCAGGACGCACGGAATTATCTCCGATCCCTGGATCATCAAGGTGCAACTTTCAAACAACGTGATGCCCCTCTAATTCGTAGCAAAACCATGGTCAGCCAAATCGAAGCGATTGCTGGGGACGATAAAGTAGGTGCCATATCTGTGCCCGAATTGCAATGGTATATCGAATGCCCTTCAACCGTGTGGATAACTGTCAGTCTGTTTTCTATTGTCTAGTCTTGTCGAACTCCGCCGGATCTCATTGGCAGCATGATTTCCGCATCGTTGACCCAGCGGTGTCTAACTGTTCGAACTGACCTCAAGACTCCTGGTACCTTTGGCTCTGCATTGATCAATGTGAATGAAGGTTACAAGGAGAACGGAGCACCTCACCTGGCTCTCGTTTACCCTCCACCGCCTACGCGAAATTTACTTTTGGAGGATGCGGCGTCGCTCATCATCCATCACGTGAAACGTCAGTCCAATACCAGCAAAGAGGACAAACGTACGATGAAGTACTTGGTGAGTTTTTTTTGCATCGATTAACGACATTTTTGTGTTAGCTCTTTCGCATCTCGCAGACTTGTCATACATTTACCGAGTAGTTGCTTGCCATACTTCTACTCGATCGGGTTTATCAAAGGCTCATCAGTGCGCTGCGACGAAATACTAAACCCCGAATTCTTCTGGAGTTTTCCAACCCCGAACGCCTAAGGTCCACTAATGCGACTCATCCGCGCGATGCTCGCGGCTGATTTATTCACAACCACAGCCATGCATTACTTACATCTTGAACAGCCCAGCCTCACTTGAATCTGGACATATTGAAGGTTGAAGACCATAATCTTGGCCATTTTTCAACCCGATCATCATGCATACGGACAGTCCGAGTGAGGAATGCGATTATACCATGGATTGGAGAGGGATCGGGAATGACTGCCCTCTTCGGTTGTACATGTACGATGAACTTTAACTCACTTGTATCTGTTCGTATGCTGTCCTTTTGGTTCGGGATTCATTGGTTGTGTCGACCGACTGAAGAGAAATCTTTGAATTGTGCAGCTGAATCCTTCGCTGGTGTTCCCAAGCTCCGGCTTCTGGAATTGATCTTGCGATAATTTCTGCGAAACCGGGTAGTGTATACAATGAGCAAAAGTGTTCTCAAGTCTACCGCCCAGCCGCTTGCTCATTGGGACATCTCCGATTGGGACAGTAGTACCAAATGGGCAATCACTCGAGCTGTCACAAGCACTGCTCATCTGCCTCTCTCTAGCAGCTGAGGTCATTCCACCATTAGCGGCGGTTTCGTAATCCATGAGTTGAAACATGCTTCAGGGACAAACGAGTCTGTCAGACTAACTACTACCTTCTACTTATCAAGTAAATATGGCATGATATGAGAAAAAGCAGGGCTTCGGGAAAACGTTCATTGAAATTGGTTCCTCGGGAGAGGCCACGTTTGGAGGGATTGACTATAGACATGGACTTTCATTGGATGATGCTCAGACAGTTTGACGTCTGTGCATTTCAAGAGTGGTTCGGTCTTGGTACCCAGTTAGGAAACGCTGAGTTCATGGTCGAAAGTCGTACAGAGGTTTCAGTTTGGCAGTGGTCCTGGAGCCGTTCTGTGGAAGTCATCGTTGCGCCATATATGAATTTTCGTTATAAGTAACATTTGCGAGACCAATACATTCCCAGGGCCCTCACCTAAGTTTATTTGACACGTTGGGTTGACCGAAACTCGGGGACTGAGCCCCAAGAAGGGCGAAACCGGTCGTGCGCTGTTGAAGGGTTTCAGCAATCTTGTGAGTAGTTTCCTTAACGAAAGCAGTTGTGCAGCAGTTTTTGGCGTGTAGCTCACACGTGTAATTTGCCTCCAGATGAGCCAGTCGATTTGATCGATAAATTCGACAATTTACCTAGCTGTATCAATCCCCGTGGGAAGGCCGTTTTGGAAGGAATGCGCCACCCCCACGTCGTATTTAGCACCGTGGATTTTTGACGTTACAATGTACTTTATATGAATTTGTGTGCAGTAAATATGTTCACTATGGTATGCGAGTGATAGACGAGGGCTATGTTTGTTGAGCAGTTACATCCGCAGCGTTATTCTGGCCTGGAGGACTCACGGAGTTGACACGGCGAAGAAATGACATGTTTAGTTTGTTTAATCGGAGCGTACTGATGAGACCGATTAATTCATTTTGATTTCGACAAATACCAATCCAATGTGTTAATTTTCTCCTCGCTCAAGAATTACATCCACTTTCAAATCATATCTTCATGGAAGCAAGTCGCGTGCAATGTAAAGACCAGTTGAACTCCATAGACCACGGCAACTGAACTACATGCCTCAATTACTAGAGTCTCGTTCGCTCCGCTATCCTCTTTCCTCCGTCATTTGCTGCTTGAAAACAATAAAATGCTAGCCAGACCATGAACACATTAGAAACCTGTCGAGATGACCCAAGTGGTTAGAGCGCGAATTTACTGAACCGGAAGGTCCGTGGTTCGAACCCGACCTCTGCCACTCGACTTCCTCTGTCTAGGCTTGGGCGACCTGTATCTATCCCAGCCCTCGTGCTTCCTCCGGGTGGTATGGCAGCTAGTTACCGAAAGGGTGCTACTGATGAACGATTATTATTATATTATTATTATTATTATTATTATTCGAAAGGTACCGACTTGGCTGTCACAACACCTGAAGGACGTCACAGTCAGTCGCATCGGGATATCGATGATATTGCTTTCACCGTTTAGCATTATTTGAACCACTCATTTGTGATACCCTTTCGGTTCATGGCGGTCTCTGCTACCCGAAGGATTAGATTTTGTCGACCCCGAAGCACTTCCCTACCTGGAATGTTGAAAGTCATGGGTTTGACTGCGCGGCCTTTTCCTGCCTGCAGTGGCATTCGGATCCTGTATATAAACATACGGTCTACGACCCACTGTGCGAATCGGCCAACTCAACTGCTCGGAAACCGGTAGACCTAGCTTAAGTTTAACTAAACAGTCCTAGCAGGAAATGGTATCAGGCGCGCCACTGGGATCGGTCCTGCAGGGTTACCTGGAAGGTGCGAATTTCCCATAACAACTCCAACTGGAGCTGCTTTCATTCTACGTTGTCATGTTATGAACCATCTACTTCGAGCCTTTAGCCAACAGTTGTTTGGAGCAGAAAACAACGGTTCTTTGGGTAGGCGGTGGTTGGGCAACGGGCATACGCAACCATCTCAACTTGGTAGGTTTAATCTGCTGCTGTAACGATTTGGATTCGTTACCACACTTATGCACATTTCGTTGTATAGTCACTGCAGCCAGCTAACTCGCAATGTAGCGGCAATGCGGGCGATCAAACGTTCGAAGACACCTTAGGTCTTCGGATCAGAGGATCTAGGTTTCACAACCATAAAGTAGGACCGCCCTTACAGTCACCCTGTGTACACGATCTTTAATCTCCAAAGAAACTCGGTCCTGACGCTATGAATGACTAGCAAATGCTGTTCGCGCCTTGGTTATCCGCGCACTTGAATGTCAGACGAAGGCTAGGCATGGACCATTGGGTCTCCGTTGCTCTCATCTATCGTGTAACGTGACCAAAATGGCCCACTTGGCACGCACCTGATAACTATTGTACCATCTTTTTTCCTCCCTTTACCTTGTTAAATAGTGTGAGGGTATTAGAATGTGGGCGCTTATGAAACCGTTCCAAAATAGTGCTGGGTTTCTGCATGACAAGTTCCATAGGCTTTCATAGGTTAGTCTGCGATTGAGGCTCCGGCCAGTGTGGCATGCTAGTGCATAAACAGTGTTTTCACCTGCTTTCATGGTCAGTGAAATAAGAACTTTTGATTAATCGTTTCTTGCTTTTGTGTGCGTTTTCGCACCCGTTCTGTTTTTGTTTCAAGTGAGCCCGGTATCACTTTTAGACGTTGCCCCCCCCCCCCAAGCCTGGGTTAAGCCTTCATTTTCCAAACACTCATTTTAGATGCGCACTGTCGTTCAGGACTTATTCATGGCTGAAAGATTTCCCATGTCTGATGACGAGGAGGATGAAGATGAAGACGAAGAAGAAATGTTGGAGGAATTGCCCGATGGCGAAGAGGGCAATCGCACTAGATCTAGTCGTCAGTCCCGGTTACGCCGTGCAAAAGAATCTAGAAAATCTGATGCTCTGCTGGATTCTTCTGTTCTTCCAGACGAAATTCCAGAGTCTGACAGACTGGAGGAAACCAGATGTGGTTCACCCGACATGTATAGTTCAAAATTTGGTTCAAGACACGCTTGTGAAGTGGATCCATCCTGTTTTTCTGCCGATCAGGAAAGACATACTGTCAACAATTTCGGATCGAGTCCCGGAATGTTCCCTCCGATGGACGGGCGACAATCTCCTTCGAGTGAGTCACACCAGATGGAAGATGTGTGCGGCGCGAATTTTCCGAAAGAGGAACATTATTCTCTATTGTATGGAAGCAATCATTGGTGAGTCTTCCGAGATTTCCTGTGCTTGATCCAGTGCTTTTGCTTTTCTAGTCGCGTTGCCTGTTGACATCAGCTTTGCATATTCTGTCTTTGGTAAACACTTAGAGCTCGAGGTAGCTCAGTGATTAAGGTGTGAACTTTCAGACCCAGCATGGACATGTCTACTGATCCTGTCTGGGCACCGAGACGGTTGTACAGCTAATTGATTACAATTATTTCTTGAATGAACGTCATTCGCACCGGATCTCAAGTAGATGCAAATTCAAGAGCTTCTTTAGTGATTCCTGCCATTTATCAGTGCTTAATTTCGGCGTGAAAGCGGTGCAGCGGGATAGTGCCACATTCGAACAAAGTTTTAATTAAACCGCATCATTCCCCAGTGGTCGAATTACGTTTGCCTTACATCTATTCTGTATACCTTTCCATCAGGTATGCCTTCCTGAGACTGCATCACCTACTCCTTTGCCGGCTGCATCTGTTTCGGTCCCGGAGCCTTGAGTTATCTATGCAAGCCGCGTCGGAGAATAATGCTCCTGTGCAAGCGGCTGAGGTTTTGCGTCTCAAACGCTGCGGTAAGTTCTTGCGGATTACAAAATTTTGTTTCATAGTGAACGTGATTTTTCGTGCTCATCCCGCGACAGTCGACGCCTTGGAAGTCATCCCATGAATCGCCTCGCCATCATCTGTAAACGGTCCGCATGTTGCACAATGGTCCCAACCGTTACAGTTTCGTTTACCGATGACTTAAGATATAGGCTTGGCAGCCACATCTCGAGAGCAATAGCTGATGAATTTATCCAAGTTTTGCAGCGGTCTTTTTGTTGGTAGGGATATCGGGAACACAAGCTATGCATTAAGACAATATGACTGGGTTATGTTCGCCACTGTCTAGGCGTTTATGTGTCCTGTTTCGGGGTCCCTATCCATCCAAGGATATAACAGTGCCCAACGCAGCTGAATTCGCTGCCAATGGCCTCGATACTTTGTCCTCAAGTCATGGTCTGAGACGGGATTGATCAACTAATCTGATGATACGAGCTACCGCTATTTGTTTGGCTGAAGAAACTTTCCTCCGGTATCCCGCCTTTACAGCACCTTCGTACCTAGCCTACAACCGCTTCTTACGTGGAATTAGTTTACTGAACCAACCAAAAAGATTAGAGTAGTTAGCGGTAGTAGCATCGGAAAGTGTCTATCGGTTCTCTGAGGGGCAGGGTGGCGGTTTAGAGCACATGTGAGTAGCCTAGCGGTGAGTTGGAATTAAACCCAGCTTGGCATAAGTGTAATCTGTACTTCGTCTCCCTCCAAAACCCGCAGCTCTATAAGGTCTGTGATTTTTTGGATGGGGCCCATCGCACACTCATCAGAATATGGCCATATGCGAAGCCGCCTGACCATCGTTCGAATACCTTGTCATCAAGTGTTCTCTGCGGTTACTGTAAAAGGGGGGTACCAACGAGCTGGTTCGTCTGTATATTCCAGATGGACAAGGTTCTCGTCCGAAGGGATCTGAAGAACGGCGTTTTGGAGACCTTCCAGAGTTCGCCTGATTGCCTCATCAATAAAAATACGCAACATAAATGAAGATTAGACATCTTTATCGGACCCCACTGCTTGTAAGAAAGCTTTTTGACACCTCCCCATACACTCAGGCATGTTCAAGTGCGTGAAGACAAACAACGCATGATATTCACAAGCTTTTGTGGCACACTTTGTTGCGAAATCGTGTAAGGGAGAACTGACCAGTCGACAGAATCAAATGCACTCTTCAAGTCAAAAAAAAACTGAGAGTGTAGGGTGCCTAGCGCATGCTTTGCCCCTTCCAGTTTAATTAAATAACCACGAGAAGGCACTTGACAGGACTTCTGCAGTTGGGGCTACTGTGTGGCTGGTCGAATGGAATGATTTTAGTGGGGTGCAAAGGACGAAATTATTCGTTTCCGGAAGCGAGCCCTCCATACTGAGGCATCATAGGACACCTTCCATATTGTTGTGTTCTTCTTTGAAGAATATGGAACATATGACCAAACGAATGCAACCCTTGGAGTTCCCCCATATCATCTTTGAGTTGATCCCTCGGGCTATGGTGCCGTTGTGGTGCACGTTGGCTCGACTGGCGGGCGTGGTTCGACACGTATCTCCATTGTTTCCGTTTTATTCTTTGAGGCCTTTGAAGGTGGCGATCTTCGTTTTCTATTTTGTTAGTCTGACGTTTGAGCCAATGATGCTTGTTTGTCATCTGTTTACCCCCAAATCATCGGTGAATGAAACTGTGGCAGCTACAACCACTGTACGACGAGTACGCGGTTCTTACAGCTGACAATGATGATGATGATGGTCTATTTACTCCTCTGGTTGCCTTTTTATATTTTGTAAGTTTTTGGTGATGCCTTCTACCAACTCATGTTCCCACTGCCCCGTTTTCATCGTGTAGGTGGTGTGGATCCCTCCGACTACTACAGCCGTGCTCTAAAACTGGTGAAGGACTTCCTTGACGGTGGAGAAGACGTAACCGTTTATGAGGATCGCCTTCGGGACATGTTTGGAATCTATGCCTATCCTTGGTTTACGTTAGACCGCCTAGTTAATAATATCGTGCGGCAGTTGCACGCTCTGGCTAGCGGCGACGAACTTAGTCATCGGCTGACGTCACTTCATCGTTCCTGGGTATCCGGCTCAACGTGCAGCAGTCCTTTCCCTAGCCGTCATCTCCACACCCCTGCAGTGGCTCCTGGGGCCCCACAGTAAGTGTATGTCTCTTGGCGAAATTCATCATTCTTCATGGCAGGTTTTCTGAACTGTGTATGTCTTCGCTTATGTTAAATACTCAATGAACTTTACTTCTTCTGTTGCCTACTGCTTTTGCTGTCCCCGGCGCTGTTGTTGGTAAGAGTACTCATGGGACATTGGATTTTACATGGGGTCGATCTTACCGACCCCAGGGAGGTCAAGCAACGACTTGGCCCGCGATATGTGCAAGCCAGTACTAGCAAACACAGCTGCGCTGGTCCTTGCCGTATTCTTGAATGGGTACCCCGAGACATTGTCAGACATGACCTAGTGGCTCTCATGCGTCTAAGCGGTTGCTCTTAATGCATAGCTTCTCTACCAATCTCCCTCCAATGGAAAGGCCATTGGCAACTTACCACACTCTATCTCAACGTCCGTTTCACCACCCTTTGCAGACAAATTCAACCGTATTTGTTTAATCCGACCTGTGTATTCTCATTTGCCATGCTTGTTGCTGTCAGGTATTAATTTTTTTAAACTTGTTATTCCTTTACCTACTTTCCATTCCTCTATCTTACTTCCAACTCATTCCAGTAGCATTCGTGGTCCGCTTTGTACACGGGTTTGTCGGCTAGCAAACGAAGCGGCTTATCGATCCCAAGCCCTTGCCATCATCAGTTCATGCCATGGCCAAAGTGGAGGCAGTAACTGGACTCAACCCGGCCCCGTTGGCCCTGTTGGTTCTTGCAGCCAGACTAACAGTAGCAACCAATCAGTCGGTGCCTCTAACAATATACCCAACTGCTACGCAATAGTAATGCTCTCAGAAGCCTCAACAATGCTCATCCGGCTGATTTCACCTACAGTTGGATCAGCTGGATATGACTCGTCAACAGTACCACATGTCTGTTTGTCATCCCATCGCCCTGCTTATCCAGCGCCGTCTTCCGCTCCCAGCACTTCCTCGGTCGCTCCCTCCGGCCCAGCAAGGCATTGGTTTGGTTACCTCAACGCTCATCTGGTTTGGACCATTGGCTATGTCCCCCGCGATGTGTATTCCCACATCCGGCCCGTGTTTCTCTATCGCACTGTTCGTCACTGTGTGAAAGCCCTCACTTATGCGGCTTATCGCAGGCGACAGCAGCAGCTGGTTGAAACCGGTGATACCCAACCAGAGGAGGTAAGCCGGCCATTTGTGTTTCAGGTCTATTGGAGTAAGCTCGAAATTTTTAGATGCTGAATTTTGTCGTTCACCCTCAAGACGACTTGGTATTCCTAGCTCCCCTAAAAGGGACCATTGTCTGTTAAACCCATGGACAATCAGGAAATTCCACATCACCTTTTAGTGCCTTACAAACACACTAATATAGATTATCCTTTAAACTTGATGTTTGCTTTCATAGTTCACGCTGGTCGTTACTTTCAATCATACCGACAGCACGAAGTTGCCGATGGGTTCTGTTGCTGGGGGGATCACGCCATCGGCTTTCTTTTTTCCCTTTATTGTACCAATGTCTCACGGCTGACTGCGACTGTAGTGTATGGTGTCGAGGAAATCGGGAGATCGATTCTGGAACAAGCTAGAATTGCAATGGAGGCTATCGGACACTCAACCCATGAAACCAAATCCGGGAATAGGGGCACTTTTCTAGGGACCAGCCTCGACCTAAGATCGAACCAAGGGAACGGTCGCGTTTTTGCTAGTCTACACAGTATGGTTTTCACATACCAAATATTCTGCTCGATGAACATTTATCGGGTGGATGTTAGTATGAAGTATACACAAACATCTCTTCTGAGAGTAAGAAACAAGCTGTGGGATAAAGCCGGATCAATCAAGGCTCAGAGTGCTTTTCTATTCCTACGTAGGCTGATGCTTGTGGAGTAAGATCGTATGTCTAACATCTTAGAGAGCCGCCGCTTAGATTTGCTGAAGTTGCAGATTGATCAACCTACCAGTGAGTCACCGTCATTAGTAAATCTCAAATTTTGTTTTTGATGCACCCCACTCCCCTATTTAACACGTGCTGTGTTTCACTCCCACAATTACAGCTTTTGTACAGTGCTATCACCTCGCGCGAGCCTTCGGAACTAGGCTCCTTCAACATCGCCTCCAAACATGATGAGCAGCGGGAGAAGGCGATCGGAACCGACACTGAATCAGCTTGCTCATCTAGGAACACCGAAAGCGCTTCGTCGTCGTCATCAGTCACTTTCGAGCATGATGTCTGGGAATTCATGTGCCATGTATTCAAAAGTGACCTCACACGCAAGGAGGTATGTGTACCCTGTTTTCTTCGTATCATTCTGCGCTGCTAGTTTGCCCCCCCCCCGCCAGTCCTTCGTTGTAGCTCGATTTGTGTCACTTTTTGCTGCCAGATGCTGTTCACACGGTAGCATTATGGGACGCAACCCTTTGCTATTAATAGCGTTTAGTCCATCTTACTATTTCGCTTCGATAGCGCCTTGTAAGTAATTTGGAGGTTTCGGGCTTCACAGTTCAGTTTTTTTGCTGGAAGCCTTACTTGTACCGCGAAGCTGTTTCACCAATGGTGCACATCTCATCCGTGCCGTGAAAGATGTTTGAATTCTTAATTTTTCCGGATGGAAGTTTGAACGATTATATACTTCCAGTCCTCTAAAATGGTAATCGCACTGCTCGTATTTTTCTTCATGAATGTAGCAGCTTTACGGTGCTCCCACTTTAGACTGGAGTGTCGATATTTCAAACGTTTTTTCACGGTCGCGAAATCTTTTAGGATATCGTGTTTGGGTACCCAAATCCATTCGCACCAGTTCAGGCTTTGCTTAGCTCTCTTCATTACCCTTACTTTTCTCGATACGATCCAGATAGGTTTGATGACGGTTCACCAAATATTCCCATTTGTACACTGAATTATTTGGTTTTAGTTCCGCCATAAATCTTAGGTTGGCACGCTGTTGTTTTTCGAACACGTGTCTAAGTCCGCTATGTTTTTTCGCAATCTAGCTGTTCCGGGATACCTTCTCAAGTGATTGTATGCAATCCACGGATCGACTCACAGCCAAGTCAGCTCCACGCACTCACAAAATCAATTGGTCTGTTGGTTCCTACGGTATATTCATCCGTCGTAAACGAAGGGTAAGTCGTCTTCACCTGTGTCCTGTTACTTTCGGATGTAATTCCCATCGGATTTCCACCGTGTTCTGTCATCTGCTCAGCATTACTTGTTTATTTTGATGGGAGTTTTTTTGGATTGGTCATACTTCACGGCCATAGCTGATTGACTTGCTTGTGTACAGTGGTTGTCAAATAGCAACCAAAGTGTATTGCTTTTAATATAATGGCGTATGTGGATTTCCCATTACGCGGCGACTGAGTGTTTAGATTTTACGAAGATATCCCTGTTCAGCATGATGATGTGTAGGCCTATGACCAGGGTGGTCTGCGTTGGGTGTGGACCTCAGAAAGAGTGGTCTTCAGGTAGACTTTTGTACGTGCCTGTTTTCTGTGCTACCTGTGCTCTGGGATTCTGACGATTACGAGTGCATATCAAAGGTTACTTGATCAGTTTTCCTCTATTTCTAATAAACTCTGCTGCAGCATTCGTTGCGTGGACCATCCCCACGGAAATGGCACGCATTTCACGCTCGCTGGATTCTGGAACACGCCAGTCCAGACGAAACTGTTAGCTCCCAACTCCCCAAATTAAATCCCACGTCCAACGACGATCCAGTTGCTTCTGTACAAGTCGAAACTCCAGAAATTCCTAGGTGGGATTATGGTTACGCTCCACCTCCATGTTCCACGGTCGAAGAAGACCCCAGTAATCCACCTGCGGAACCTCCCACTACAGATACCGACTCCTCCATCCATCGTGGCGGTTCACCCACTCGGCGAACTGATGACACTTCCAACCAAATGTCTATATCTTGATGCCGTTGTGCAGAGCGTTGCTGTGACCCACCATTCCCACTTTCTACTCAGACTGACCCCACACACCTTTGTACATTGCTGCAGTAACCCACCACCTCACGCTCCTTGTATTTTTGCCTTGTTTCCTCCTGTCTTCTACGTTCAAGTCATTTTCATCAGTTTTTGTCCATACCGGTAATGTGACCAACCTCGATTTGAACATCATTGTACACAGAATAACAACACACTTGTACGTTTGGTGCTATACCACACAACAGTTCGTCCCCCCCCACACACACGCACATCTGCACACAGCATATTGTTGGTGGTGGTGGTGGTGGTTGCGATGACGGCAATGATTATGATGTTATCCTACGCCTTACACCCGAGTACAGAAGAACTCCTTTTTTCTACCACTACTATTGACTCTGTTCATCAACCCCATGTTATTCACGGTGTGCATACTCGACTGCCTTCACTTTGTCTCTTGCGAATCTGTTCGCATGATTCTCCATCTGTAGTTATTACGCGAATGCGTATGTTCATACACATCCATGCCCTTCGTTTATTGTTTGCGTTCACTGTCGGTTAT